TGATGTATAACGATTCCAACCAAAGGCAAGAAAATTCCCCTCCATCCCTGAACAATAATAAAAAACGTCCCCATCTCCACAAACGTTTCCCAGTTAATACTCTACTTTAGAATGAGACTGTCTGTATCACAGAACCCTTTGGTTTACGTTGTACGAGCACTGTATTAGCTAGGGCGTAAAATTGACATAACGATGGGCTGGTTTTGACACAATCTATAAAATGTTTTACATAATGAGATTTTGGCAAAGTCACGTCACACTAATATGGCAAAAATCAGGTAATCAATATGGTCAACTCATCATTTGTCTTTCCTCACAGCTTCTTTTCACATACTGGGCGACTGAGTGGCATGCAGTAACTTGTCTGAGGGAGAAGCTGATTATACAAGACATTTGACTAAATGACCATGAAGAAAATAAGGCACTTCCTTTTCTTTAGACTTATTCCAATACTTAAAAAATAAAAAAAGAAAGACTAAAAGGCTCTTTTGGTCTTTTGTTTCTTGACAACCACCAGAAAAAATCATTTAATGAAATAAAGGGTTTCTTTGTTCTTTTTTTCTTTTTTTTTTATAACACTTGAAAGTATAAAATGCTACATTTCCAAAAATATATTTTTTTTCTGCACCAGCACCCTTGTATAGTAAAAGTATCTACTTTTTTGTTCATTTTGTTTCAATGCACTACACTTTATCTACAATTTCATTACATGTATACAGCAAATAGGCAAGCATGGCTTTTACATCCTTAATGAAATTTTTCTATACAGGGAGGTTTAAAAAAAATATTTGAACAGTTTGCCCAGTAATGTGACACATAATGCATGTACCTTGTTCTCATGTAATCTTCCAAGGAGATTAAAGTATGGTTAAAATAATTTAAGCTCAGATTTTGCTTCAATAGTGTTGCTGTTTTGTTCTCGGCATCAACATAGTTCTGAAAAGTCATTGCAATCTATATTTCATGGCACACACTCTTTTAAAACATCCAATTTGGCAGGCGATAGAAAAAAAAGGCTGCAACTTCTGCCCTTTGAGGGCACTGGTAGTGACTAAACAGCTTATCAAATTTTGAATACTTTTTGGAATCCCTTCACCAATGACATCCCTGACCAAAGGTTCATGCATGATGCATCATCACACAGTACATTCAGAGAGAGCTTTGACTTCGTTTTGAGAAGAAAAGTATTCCTAGAAGTCTCTCACAGTAACTGCCTCTGTCATCGGGTGGCTAAGGGACATCTGTCTCCGTCTCTCGCGAGGCCTTCTTCCCGTTCGCTTGGGGTGGGACACTAGAGGATGCTCAGTGCTGAGGGATGCATTGGACCTTATTGCTTTACTACTATTCAGTGCAGGTTCTAGAACCACTTTCACCCAAACAGGAGGAAAAAAAAGCGGAGTTGGAGGACAACAATTTCTTTGTCTTTTTGTTAGATGGTAAGACGAACGGACAAGTGCCCCAGCTCGCTGCACTGAAGACAGGCAAGCAAAGGCGTTTACCAGTTAACTGATCAGCAGGCAGGCATGGTCAGGTCATCATTGGGTGAAGAGTTCAGAGGTCAGAAGGTCATAGGTTAGTTGCCGGTGGCGGCTGGGTGGTTAGAAACAAAAAAAAAAACAAAACAAAAAAAAGAAAGAAAAGATAGAGAAGAGATTAGTTCCAGCTAGTGACGGCTTAATGACAACATGAAAACTAATCACAACTAATAAAAAACAAGCATGTTTAATTCTGACATACTGATCGACACCATCTACGGAATGCAATAAAATCATGACAGCCCTCTATCATGATTTGGACATGTGAAGGAGAAGCCCACTCCCACAAAACCGGTTAACAGGAGAAATAGAGATAAAATACGACTAACAACTAATGGTTAGTAGCAGTCGATGAAGGAAATCGGAAAACAAAAACGATGAACAGTTTTGGAACTTGGTAAAAAAAGATTTTTGGAAACAACAGTCAGTGCACGGCATCAGTACCTGACTGCTATTAAGCATTAGTTACTTTCCCAGGTGCAAGCATTAAAGCAACTATTAATGATGGATGTGATTATTAATAACTGGTTGTTAAAAGAAATGATCCTAGGGAATTCTCCACTTGCAGAGACAATTTGGTTCAACAAACTAGGGGCCAAACAAGGTTTTTTTTGTTCAATAAACTTTTTATTGCCTTTCATTTATTCTATTTACAAACAACATGGAATTTCTTGGCCTCATGATACAAAGCAATACTAAACTGTAGTCTAGCAGTGTAGGCATCATCATGGGAACCAGGAAAACGCTTGAGCCTACTACTCGAGCCAGCATTTTCCTGTTCAAAATACTATTTTACACGTATAGGACACTTATAAAATGCACTTGCATGTAAACACTGTAAAAGTCCTGCCATTTTAAATTCTATACTTAAAAAGCTCTAAGTACATCAAAAAATAGAGAAAATATCTAATTGATACTAATAAGGCATTTTAAAACTACAAACAGCTCTCTTTATTCATTTTCAAAGCTAATACTCTGCAAATACAATAAAATCTGACTTTTCATATAAAAAAAGTCCTGCTTTATATTTTTTATATTTTAAAAGAAGCCACCTGTAAATACTATTTTCTTTTGCAAAAACAAAACAAAAAACCCAAAAACACAAACAAATTACAGTAAAACATAAAAAAAAGTTCTCAAGTGGAAAGTTATCATTCCCAATGTTCTTGAGCTGTTCCTTCTTTAATCATTCTCTCACATTCTCCTTCACCAAACTTGGTCCACTTAACAGTAGTATTTTTTTTTTTTAAGACTCATTCAACAGCTTAATTATAGCTAATAAATTCTGAGGTTGATAAAGTTTTTGTACTGTTGCCATTTCGACTAAGGCAGAGGAGATGAAAGTGAGAAAGGTATTCAGTGCAAAGTCAGGTTTGTGCCATTTCATAAAACGAAGTCCAGTAGCTACAATATTCACAGATTGATTTAGCAATCTTTCGCGTGGGCTGATTTACTTTCACATAACAACACTGGCCTATCATTTAGGATACAGTTTATAAACACTTAAAAAAAAATTACTACTGTAGCCTAAATGAGACCACATGTTCCCTGAATTTCTCCAAACTTGTGCTAAAGTGGGATTTAAGTTAAAACAGCTGTTTCAAAAATAAGCAAAAATAAAAATAAATATTTATTGTGGCACAATCTCACCACTTTACAGGTATACTAGAAACACAGACCCTTAAAGCATTTTGATAGTGATTATAATTTGATTAAATGGTATTAAATTTTTTTATATAAATTATGTGACAGTTGGTTTTGATAAAACATTCAAGAAAATCCTCAGCATTAATATTTCTTGTGGAGTTTATGATCAAAGCAAGCTATCTTTTAAAAATACCAGTACACCTGTGATACATCCTCTGCCAAGTCCCTGGCCTTCTACAGTACACACAGGTTTGTCAACTGTGCAACACCATTTACAGTTTATTGCAAGTAAATCAGTCAGTCTCTCTGTTATATGAATCAAATTCAATTTTGTATTATGTATAAACAGGGGTTTTATTCTTAGTTAAAATGAGCTATATTTGTCAGCCCTTCTCCAATTCTAAATGCTTAGTTGTAAGAGTAGAACATTTACACATTTGCGGATTCTTGCTTTAAATGCAGTGCTTATCTCTTAGAACAAAAACAAAAACAAATCCTATGCAAAGAATAAAAACCTACATAAAAAGTGAATGCAGTAGTACTACAAAGTCATCGGAGAGTTGACTTAGATTTTTTTTTTTAACTTTAGACCCAATGAATGCATATATATATTTTTATGACATATTAACTATTTAAAAAAATGCTTTTCCACATTGAAAAAAATAGTATTTCGGTTTGCTGACATTGATTTCATGGCTATAATTATAGAAATATAATTGACCGAATAACTCAATAAGTGAATACGGTAAATATTGATCGTATTTTAAATCTACAAAAAAAAATTAACACAGTAAAAAAAAAAAATCTATCTTAATGCTGAACAATATTCTCTTTAAAACCTTTTATAAAACTGTTAAATATGTGCAGTGATAATCTAGGCTTTCAAAATTCAAAATAGAATGAAATAAGTCTTAAGATTAACTCTGTGCAAGTTTCTTAACACACTCTGGTATAATTTAGATGATACTTTAAAATCATGTTCATCTGAAATAACTGGCATGGTTTTCATGCAAAGAGATAGAGTGGAATGTTTGACTCATTCCATAGGAAATAAACTATGCGCATCTTTTTTTAAATACAGTGGTCTTCTAATATCACTAAATACTAACACTGCATCATCAGAAAATGGGCATGTTCTAAAAGGAGGTGAAATGGGACCCATAATTATTTTCAGTGACTGCTAAGTGACAACCCCAGATGAAATGTCTAGGCCCTTCACAAGAAGAAATAAAATATATGTTAAGTAAGTAAACATCACAATGATGAAATGAAACAACATATAAGAAAACCCCTTCTACTGTGCTTCATCACAGTATTTACTAGACTTGGGCAAATATCTAACTATGCAAATAGGTGTTATCAGTGTTTTTACCTGCCCTCTGAAGCCTATCACAGGTAGAGCAAGAAAGATCACTTGCAAAAACTGAATTTGGAAGCATGAATTCAAACTTTTAAAGATATCGAATCCTTAATATCCACTGTTGTTGACAGAAAAGGAGGGTCTCCCCCCCCCCTTTTTTTTTAAACCTGGGCTATGAGCTCATTCTGATTATGCCCTGCTGCCTACTGAAGAGTTTTCTAGAAATGGGAACATGCCTACAGGCTGTAATAGCATGAGGCAACATAAAACAAGATGCAATTTTCTAGGAAACTTAGGTAGTGTCTGTAAAGCTGATGTACAGAGGAATGAGAACCTTACATATGAAGGGTGAAAGTGTCCAGGAGGGCCTTTTTTTACTGTACTGACTAAAATGTATATTGCTCATCTTAGTTAAAGAAGGCTGGCACTAGTGAGGTGTAGTCTAGTTAAGTGATGTCAGATGTGTCACCTGAATGCGTCCTTTGACTATTACAATACCATGGAAGCCTGCACAATACTGAGTTTGATGAGAGCAGAATAATAATACTTGGCACTTGCATAATGCTTTGCATCCTTAAAGCCCTGTACAAACAAGAACCCCCACAACACCCCTGTGAGGTAGGGAAGTATTATTATCCTTATTTTACAGATGGGAAAACATACACAGAGAGATTAAATGACTTGCCAAAACCCACACAGAGCCAACAGCAGAGCTGGGGTAGGAATTCAGGAGTTCCTGTGCTTAGCCCCCACTGCTTCCTAGCCAATGTCAATAAACCGAAACTATTACTTTTCCGTGTAAGCTTAAATACTTCATTCAGGGGTCCAAAGACATTACATTTGAGGAAGAGGAGAAAAATGAAGATTTAGTTTCCATTCAACAGTTAGAGAGAGATGCCCAAATATTGGATGTCATCTCACCAACAGGACTTCAAAAGTTGCTTCTCCTTCAGGTTACACATTTTAGCAGCAAAAGACAAATACCAAGAAACCCGTTTTGGCAAAAAACCAAAACACCCCTTACTCCTGCCCTTAGGAATTCAAGCTCAAACAACTTTTGAAGTATTATCTTCACAGCCCTTACCTCTCTGAATTCAGTTAGGTATCTGAGAACATGCATCCTCCTCAAAATATACAGTACAGTGGCTCAAAAGTTTACTGGAAAAAAGGAAAATCTAAATCTTCAGATTTCTCCAGACACAGACAGGAGGCATCTATTCCTTTACTTCTTTCTCATTAAACAACCACCCATTCATTTTATTTTGCAACACCAATCTGATATTTCCACACCATTAAAAGAACAAATCTGGGGGGAGGGGGAGAGGGAAACAAATTAACTATTGCAGTACTGAATTCAGTGTTTTCCTGCAGCAATGGATCTTTAAATAGTTTTTAAAATGGATTGGTTATAGCACTTATATTAAATATATCACAAAGTCTACACGATTCATTTAGCTGGGAAAGCTACGTTTACAAAATCTTTTTAAAACTGCAAGCATTCCCCAAGCTCTAAATTATTAACTCTTTTTTTTTTTTTTTGAGAAAAAAATAATGAATGGGTCAGATATGGTATTTGGTTAACCAGCTGTGGTGTTGCAAATCTCATGTGCACTCAAAGCATTTCTTACAAACAAGAACTGCAGAACTAAACTAACCTCGGTCTGCGGTCACAATCCTTTGGTAAGGATGGACACGCATATCGTGCCTTCGAACTTTAGTAGCCACCGCACCTAGTTAAATTGCAATTACCAAGACAAAGTTAGAAAACATTCAAAGAAAACATTAACAGCAGGTTTATCAAAATGGATTTAAATGATCATTAACTACAAAAGTTCATTTTAAGAAAAGCAACAAGTTAAGGCACAGTAGTTTCAAATCTTAACCTTAAAAAGAAGTTTGTCTGTGCAGATTAATATTGCATTTATTTTAAACATCCTGGCCTTAACCTGTTTAATCCATTCATTTACAATCCCAAAATTACAGTATTTCATGAAATCTATTAGACCCAAGCACATTTAAGCTTTACTAGTCACATATTCACTGAAGTGCCTTTCTTGCAGCAGGACTATTTTAAATAATGCCATTTTTTAATACTGACAATTATTTCCTAACCTTAAGATCACTTCCAGTTCTACCACAAATAAAGTTTTAAAGCAATTCTTCAAGCCTACAAATTGTGATTTTAAATTTTAAAGTCAATAAGTATGAACTGCAATGAATTAGGTGATTAGTAAAGCAAACACTATATAAAACACTTAGCAGTCAGTATACTACTATACACTCATAAATTACAGCTACTCTGTAATAATAGGGGCTAATCCAAATTAATAGCACTATTTTATTTTATATCTATGTGCAAAAAAGTGCAAGTAAGTCACTGACTGCTAGGCCAAGCTTTTTTCAAGGCTGCTGAAACTAAGCATTTGTTAAAATTCAGATCTGATGAAGGATCGGTTAAGACCGTTCTTGAATTCTTAGCCTTTCGTTGGGAAAGCCATACCTAAAGATAAAAGGAAGGGAATTGAAAGTTAGTCATCAACTAAAAGTTGATCCCAACACCAGTATCCCCAAAAATGCTAATAGGGATGCATTACTCTGTTATTTTTCATGGAATTAATTTAAGACATTGTAATAGTCCACTGCTAAGTAGACAGACCTAAGAATATTATTAATGACAATAGGTACTTTGCAAATTTAAACTCATTAATTAACTGCATACAATTGCTCACATAATAGAGCAGTAGTATTAGAATAAATGTTTCTGTACTACCTAAATGGTGGTTTACTTTTTCTTTCTTTTTTTTTTTTTCTTTTTTATTGTTTTAAAATAAGATGCCTATTTTGTGCAATTCACCTCTGCTCTCAGCTGTGCACCCTAATGGACACCCTAATGTACCTAATGGCCATTTTAGGAGCAATTCTTCCTCCTCGCCTTTACATAACATTGTGCAAGAGATCAGAGGAAGCCCCCTGCACTACACTGAGTTATTACTATGCCATGATATATTTCTCTGCTAGATAATCAACTGAATTTAGCGAGTTGCCACTGAGCAGCAACGGACACTTGTAACAGCAGCCTCATGTCAGGAGGTGCTGCAGGTGCCCAAATCCGGCCGATGGGGAAGCTGGGAAGAGAACGTACAAGTCTGTACGTGAGATTTCATAAAGGATGAGGACACTGCCACTGAATTCTGGCTGTGGGACGATGGACAACCACCTCAAGTAGCTCAAAGACAGTTCATCCTTACTAAATACTATTGTCCTACTAAATTTCTATTAGTGATTCTCACTAATGCTGAAAGGGAGCGGTCTGAAGACCTTTTTCTGTTTTATTGTATTAATGTAACATGGAAACATGCACACATACAAATGACACAAACGAAAACAGCTGAAGTGGAATACTGGATGTTTTACACTTCTTTCATCCAAATACTGACTTGGAACCTTATTGTCCCATGATCAGAGATGTTTAGTATTTATGTGAATTGGTACCTGCCACTGAACAAACTAAGAACAAAGTCCTATAAAATCGACATTATGCAGGACCAAGGTCTTATACAATTAAGAGCAAGCTAAAAAGAAAAGATTATTTAAATGCTTATCAGCTTGTTCCACACTGACCAGCTAACTGAATTGTACCAGAAGCTGCATGATGCTTGCCTTGCTGCATCAAGTCAGTGGTCTGAAATATTAGGAATGATGGACATTTCAATGCACCGTATATAAAAAGTCATCAGCAAAGTTGATGAGTGCATCATCCTTTGGTCAGAACTTACTTTCCTTTATTCACTTCATTAGTTATTTTCTGTTTACAAATTGATTTACAGATTTGTGACATTAGGGAGATTTATCCATTCATGTACCACATAAAGCAGCAAAAAACAAGCTGGGGGAAAAAAAACACTTCAATTTTCTACCTTTTTGCTATCAAAATATTGAGCAAAATCAAAAGTTCTCTCTTTAAACACTGCTGGAAATTAATTTATGTTTAAGAGAGCACAAACGAATGGGGTATTTATGAGAATACAAATCATGTCTGCTATAAGTAGAGGTCAGTTTCTATTTGTTTCTCTTTTTGCATTTGCTAACTAGTGCCACACGAATGCTTTCTTTTTAGTAATCTTACTAATATATTATATGCACATATTTAACAATGCAAACATACTAACAGTGCTTAAAAGTTGCAGCATTTGAGCAATCTTCCGAGGTAATTTTATGATATAGCCAAGGAAAGATTGTCGTCTCTAAGGTTTTTGAGCCCCATGAGCTCTACCTTTCAAGCAGCACAAAAGCAGGTATCACACAAAGCCAGTCATCTGCTTATGAAGGTCTTACCTAATACACCACTAGGTTCAATAGGGTACTCGAGGATTGACGTAGCTGGTGCCAGTGTGTAGGGGTATTCGTAGGGGGTGTAAATTAACCCAGCCTCGGGTCCTGGAGGAACTATCGCGGCGGTCGGGTGAGGAGTTCCGTTTGGCATGACAGCGGTTTGTATTTGTCTGATCAAAGGCATTATGGTAGGGCCAGCTGGCGTAGGGGTACGCAGGGCAGCTGGTGGGAGAACAGGCGCAGGCCCCGTGATAATCCTTGGAGCCTGGGCTGTTGCTGCAAGAGAAAAGGCAAGGGCTGCTACAGTAAGCAAAGAAATTCAGAAGAAAGTGTAGAGGTAGCAGTACAAAACGTGGAAAGAATGGGAAAAAAGCGGAAAAGTAGGAAAGAAGAAAAATAAAAGGAAATCATTAGTACATGCGCTGATCACACAGTGCCAAAGCACACCATTCAAATGCAAACAGCTTTCCATTTTCCAGTGTGATTAAGTATGAACATGCAAAATAAAAAAGCCATTGTAAAACAGTGAGGTAGATTTCTCAAACAGGTTACATAGCACAAAAGCTCCATTTAGACCACATTTCTTCACTTATGCTATCGAGACTGCATGAGACTGAGATGCATGCAGGAGATACAAGGAAAATACTGTCATAATCAAATACGGAGTACAAAACACAGTGCAACTACAGAGTCCACAGATACTCAGTTATGCAGAGCTGCCATAGGAAGTTCCATAGTTTCTATGTACCTTAAAACTGTATTTAAACATATAGACAAATCCAGTTTCCAGCATCACTTCAGGATAACCTGGAAACAGATTGCCTCTCCTTGCTCACTACAGAATGAATAAGAGAGGCTCGGAAACAATCTCCATACCAATTTCCCCAAAAGAAAACATTTCCTTGCATATTAGAAATTCACTGTCGTCTTGTGTATGCGAAAGAGAATAAGTGCTTTAATTTTCTTTTGTTCTTTCTGTCTTCTTTTTTGCACTTTGGGTAGCACATTTAATTAAGCGCTATTTGAAGCCTCTTGGTACGCAATATGAGCAACCTTTTAAAAACTGACATAGATCAATTGGTAATGTTGCAGGGATAAAATTTAAAATTTACAGTTTTCTGTGCATTAATGCTGCTGTTCATTGATTTAACAGGTTATCAGAAAACAGGAAAGAGGGGAAGCCTTTCAGATATGGGGGTGAAGTCACTAAGAAATGATTTTTTTATGTTCAAATCTAATCAAAATAAAGGTCTTGGGTTTTTTTTCTTTTCTTTTCTTTTTTAAAAGTGAAATGAACCACCGTGGCTTCTACACCCTCAGAGTGTCAATTAAGTCAAAACACACAAAAATGAAAAAGTCTTCTTCATCAGAAAGTGTCAGTGTGAAAAACTCTGGACAGAATAAGGAAAAAAATCCCATCCCACCTACTTACTGATGCAACAGAACAAAGGCAGTAGATCAGACAAAGAAATTGCTCTAATTAATATAGAAATTTCTATGCAACAGTTTGCATGCATTGAAGCTAATTTGAAAACTATTTTGCTCATAAATTTGTACTAAATTGGGGACAATACGTTTAAAACTGATTCAATTTTAAACACCATGGTGTTGATTATGGGGTGAAAGATAAAACCCTCCATTGTCTTGATAAAAGCCCTTGCTTATTTCTCTTTTCAAATCAGAGTAATTACACTGGTGTAAGCACTCTCAAAATCGACATAACTGAATTCCACCCTTTAAATTTATCCGACATTGAAACAGTGACTATACAGAGCAACAATTCTGCAAATATCAGGAGGCCCTCGGTGAAAAAAAAATGATTTAACTGTGCTTTCATTTGACATCTGTATCATAGCTACGATAAAAATATTTTTTTGGAACAGTATTAGCAACTACATTTTCAGGAATAAAATTTAGATTTAAAATTAGAGAAAAAATATCACATATAGTAGGCATCTGCTTTCTTAGTAATTGTACATAATATAATTATTTTCCAAATTTAAAACTGTGCATACAAGTGTTTGCAAAAGCATTCACACAGCAAACTGATGTAAGAAACAGCAAAAAAAATCGCTCATTACATCACTGATCTCTGTGAACTCGTGTGTGAAATCACTTGATGAATCATTGGAAAAACATAACACTGGGGTGACACATGCAAGCAAGATGAAAGGAAGGAATATAATACAGAAAAATGTATTCACAGTATCCTGAACATTTGTAGCATTCTCAAACTTATCTCTAAAGAATAAAATTGGAAAGGAGTCCATTGTCTTTTATATATACTAAAGAAAAAATATTGTAAAATAGAAAAATCTGGCTTAAGGGTTGAATTTTGATTAAACTGTGTGTTTGTAAAGATTTCAACCTGTACATATTGTGGGTTTTTTTTTCTTTTTTTTTTTCTTTTTTCTTTTTAAGTGTGGGGGCGAGGGTGGAGAGGTGAGGGAAATAGTTAAAATCCATTTCCAGGAGAGCCTCTGTAAGCTACTGTGTTTTTTTTTTTTTTTTTTTGCCTTCCAATCTTCAACAAAGTTACTATTGTACATCTGCCAAAAAGTAGCTTCGGGAAACAAAACCTGCAAATACTCGTGTTGCACTGACCCTCAAGATTATGACATGCTTACGTGATTTGATGTTGGCATCTCTGTAGGTGCCATTCAGAATTGCAAGCTCCATCAGCTGCATCTTTTTAAGGCTGTCTTCTCCTTCTGCCTGCATATGAAGAAACATGAAAGAAAGTTAGACTCACTGTTTCACTGGTGCACAAGAACTGAGGGACCTAGAATAAGTGTCTTCAAGATTTAAGCACAGAAAACACCTGCATACCATTAGTCACAAAAGCAGTAGGGCTTGTAAAAGTTTCCCAAGTTAATTCCAAGTGGTCTGTTGTTTATCACAAATCGGTATTAATAAATATCTTAGAGGGGGAAAAGACCCATGCCCTAAGTTATAAAAAGAGGGTTAAATTTAAATTGTGCTTGATAAAAGCTCTTTAAAGAAACTTTTTCTTAAGTCTTAGTAAAATACATATATACATATATATATATACATACATATACATATATATATATATACACACTCCTAAGGGGCCTTTTTTAGCTATGGAGTTATAAGCAGATGAGAAGAACCTAGACCATGAATTTAATATAATTACAATTTATGGCAAGATGATCTACTGCTGTGGATAATGACTACTTAAAAAAAAAAAATAAAATGGAGAGGCTTTTGACACCTGACAGTAAAAGTTGCTTTAAGGTGAAATTCATAGTGTACATACATGTACATGTGTTCCAGTTAGGATACAACTATTATTTATACATTATATATTATTAATAATTTGATTCAATAAAAATGACTTGCCTGAAGCTATCTGCTCTTTGTGTATTCTGCAGCTTGCATAAATATCATGTAATATTCAGCAAAAAAAACCCTCCTCCTCACTTTCTCAATTACTGACCAAGAATAACACAACTTTACAGTATTAAGACTAGACATTTTCTATCTCCTGATCTTTCTGCCTTCCCAGAAACACTGCTAGTTGTTTAGTCTATATTCTGTGAACAAGATAAGCCAGTGACATAGGAGATTCAATAAAGATGTACCTATCATCCTCACTCAAGGTCATCCCTGTCTACTTTAATGTTAAATTACCATCTTGCACTCTCGGATTCTATGCTCTTACTGAAAATTCAGATGGAAAAGGGAACTGCTTAAGTGTCAGCTTATTTGCACTCTCTTTCCTTTCCTAATTAAAAATTTAAAAAATCCAGCCCATCTAGTCTGTTATTACTCTATTTTCCAGATATTTAGAGTAGAATTTCCAAGCTACTGAGTGAATCTGTATAATAAGTAGTGTGAAAAATCTTAGAAAGTATGACATCAGGGAGGGTTGCTCATCTATCTTAAACTCTAACTCCTGCAGATAGCTTGAATTAATACAGGTTATTATGAAAAAAAAAAAAAAACTAAACCCCCTAAAGAACAGCAATCACTATCAATAACCAAATAAATATGCAAGTTTGTTTTTGTTACAACATCATAGCAGTGAAAGTTATGTCATAAATCACCTCAGTTGTTAGGAATATTTACATTTACTCATTTATTACCCAAAATTTTAAGGGAAGTTGTTCCAAAAATTTCCAGGTTAGCTTAAGGCAAGAAACTGTTACACAAACTTTATTCCTAAAATTTAGGAATTTACAATTTGGAAATTTTGGAAGTTATAAAACTCACAAAAAATTTAATTCAATTAAAGTCACATCTAAACACATATAATCGTTATAACGAGGGCATGAGCATGAGCAGTACACCCAACACAAATTGATGGAAATGCCTTTTTTTTTTTTTTTGGAAGCAGTTTGGAATCAACACATAAGATGGGTCAAGGCTGAATTACTTTCAGATGTGGGAGATGAAAGTCCCAACTGTAATACTGAGAAGTTATATAACGAAGATTAAACCTTGAAAGAATTTGGGCTATTCTTAAGTGCTACATAGTGGACTCATACCACACAATGACTAGCATAAATATTTAAAATGTAAATACATATTACCATTTTAATTATAAATTAATTGTACAATTAAGTACTGTATTATTCACAGACCTCAAACTCTATAGCCTTTAATATTAGACTCTCTGGAATACAAAATGGCCCGATAATAGCCTGCTTAATGTGGTGTGCTCAGAATGGGCCCACATGCAAAAGTTGCTTTGTTTTAGAAATGACTATTTCTAAATAGCATCACTGCAAGTAAATTATCTAGACTATGAAGTCAACCATGATGCAATAAAAAAAGTCCTGAATCTATCCTTCTATCCAGAGTTCAGAAATTCTTGTCATTTTCTTTTCTTAAAAAACAAAATCAAAAAGCATAGATTTCTCTTCCCTACATTGCTTCATTAGGGTCATACTTTTGCTCCTGGCTTTTTGACCCCCTTCCCCTCCTCTCTCTTTTCTAAATGAAACAATGAAACAAAAAACCCACAGTGTCAGCTGCATCTCCTATAAAGCTCCATTAATGTTACTAAACTTGTTCAGTATCTCCCAAAAGGGTTCAGATGACTGATCTGACAGCCATTAATGAGGCTCAGTAAATGCTGAATCTTACATTCCATTTGCTGGGGTAATTTTAGCAACTCTGTAATCCCAGATTTGGGACCACAGTGAATAATTTGCAAATGGAACTATTTATAGGATAATAGTTTTAAGATAGAAAAGATTTTTTCTCTTCTGACACTCTCCAATGAAAGAGTTATACAAACTTATAAGCAAAGGAAGTCAAAGCCTTCACCCTTACAGCTCTTCAACATTTTTCTATGGGTCACTATGCTTCCCATGAGAAAAGCTGAGGCAATTGTACCCAGATTTCACAAAGCACATTTACAAAAATAACAGCGCACTTCGATATCCTAAGCCCTTAACTATTATTTTGGTGCTTTTTTCCCCCGCTGTGGAGTAGTCTCAGCTGCTGATTACTGTTTACTGTTAAGAACAGTTCAAAATACACTTTAGTACCTCAGAGCACTTCATTGCAGGCAGTGCCGGGGTGGTGGCCGGGAGCCTCCCGCCCGCCCGGCCGCGCGGTACCACGTTCCCTGCCTGAGCATCACTTAGCAAGAGCCAGAGCTGCCCGCGCGGCGCGGGGACCAGGCCCGCGCTGCTCCCGACTGACAGCCCGTGCAACGCGGCGCTCGCAGGCCATCTATTCTAGCTTCAGGCACGCCTGCAGGCGCTCTGTTAAAGCAAAGTGAGGTCGCACGGGGGTGACGAGGCAGCCTCTACAACAGCAGCACATCCCCTCCGCGGCATCCACGACGAAGCTCGCTCGTTTGCACCAAGGAGAAGTCACTTGAAGCAGACATCAGTAAGGTCACTTAGAGGCTTATTTGCATTGCTTAGTCGAAGCTTAAGTGATTGACTCAAATCTATCATCCCCTTAATTCTTCAGTGCTTTCCCTTGGATTTCTTATACACAATCTAGCATGCAGATCAGGGAAAAAAAATAAAACAAAACCCACCCCTTAACCAGGTATTTGAAGCATACCTGTAAGCGTGCGCACTCGCAGCCACTCGCTGATGACGGGCAGAGAGGAGCTGCAAGGAGGAACCGCTCCACAAGCGACTGCGGGAGAGCTGCCTGCTGCCCGAGCTCAGCTGCGCCTGCCCCAGCAAGAGGGACCGGAGGAGCCCCAAGGCCAGCGAGCACCGCTGCCTTAAACGCCCGATTTTGAATCACTACCAGCACAGCATTAACGGCCACGAGGGTTACAACGCTAGCAGTAAGCGCTAGCTCCAACTCTCTTGGTGTTTTTAGTAGATGTGCACATATTTATATTCATTTGTCGGTATTAGAACTAATGGAGAATCTTTTGTTGTCATTATTTAGTGGCATTTATCCTATTTCTGCAAGAAACAGACACCACAATGTTTGAAATCTTCCTGTTTTGCAGAAGTGCCAGGTGTCCAACTTTGCCATCTTTTACTGGAAACATATTGAGTACAGAAACCAAACCAAAAGCCCAGTCTGCATCTGAAAGCAGGTTTGAGGCACGCAGGACAGAACAACAGGAGACCTAGAAAACACTTCCCAAAAGAACAGAATTCAAAATAAAAATGGTCTATTCTGACTCGCCTTACCCCAAAAAATGAAACAAAACAAGATGTGATTCTGTCTCCTATATTGGGGAATACCTGTTGTTTCAAAGAAAGTTGGAACTACTAAAAGTTATGCAATAAATGCTAATAGTAAGAGCTTGGATAAAACACTCCATTTTGTCTTTTTTTTTTTCCCCCTAATGACTTCTTTTGAATATCAATGTCCAAGCTTTTCTTGAATCCTGCTAAACTTCAGATACCCCCAGACCCTCAGAGGTACGCTTGCACTTAAATAATACTTCTGAAATCATTATACAGGAGCCACCTAAATGCCCCAGATTTTCAGCTGTGCTATTAATTACACTTTGCTACGCAGGTAGCTTACCAAATTTAATATTTTATTAATATCTTCACTGCTAGTTACAAAACTAGCTAGTAACAAAAACTGTCACTTGCTTATTTTATGAAAAAGTGCGAACAGCAGTAATCAAACTACATTCTCCACAGAGGTCTACTCTGTTTTATCAGGTTGTTTTGCAATGTGTACTTACTCTCTGCACTTGCAAAATAAAGAAAGGACAGAAAAGACTTTCTAAAATATACAAATTCATAAATATACGTATAGTATATATAGCGACAGAAAGCATCAAGCACACAGATTCCAAACAGAAGTACACAAAGTTTCTGTTTCACTGAAGGATGTAAGGTGGACAACCACGCAGTTATCTAAATTAAACCATACCAATGTTGAAATTGTATCAGGAAAACTACTTACACATCCAGTGTGGAAGTGGCTTTCAACATATATTTACTCCAAATACATTGCATATAAGCTCTTAGAAGAGCTTTATCATCTACCTTTTCTTGGTTCATGCAACATGATGCTTTTCAAAATCTGCTAAAGGACAGAAATAACCCTCAGGAAGACCGTGAATGAAAATGAATAAAAAATCCTTTTTTATTACATTATTTTAAAGATAATGTACAGCTATTTTAGAAAGCACAGTATTTATTTTCTTAAATTATTTCAACTATGGGATCTTGGATATCCTATCCTTCCCATGGCACAGTAGATCTGTAATCCAAACAACTTATTTGGGATACAGGGTCAGATAA